TGAATGGTAAATATATCAGTTCATATAGTTCATCCTCCTAATTGGGTTAAAAAATTATATGTTGCAAACTTGCAATGATCTTCAGCCTGAGCAAGACCTGTTGTTCACTTGCAGGCCTCAAACATAATGTAATACTGTTTGCACTCCAATCTGATATTCTTATATTTCTAATTACTTCCGTGACTGAAGAATTAGTTGGAGAAACTTCCAATCATTATCAAAAGCAAAGTTTTCCTTTTACCCTTTTTCATAAATTTAGTATTCTTTGTTAGTTGTAGTTGAGTGAGGTTGTTATCGTTCTTTGGGTTGAACTTTAGGATAAACCTTTTGGAGATGCTGCATCCTGTCCATGTGGTGTTCTATCTATTTTTGACTTAATGTTGGATTCTGAGGAATGGTTTTGTTTCTAAATCTTTAAGAGGAAGACTCACGGGGTTTCTAGCATTGAAGCTCATGATGTTGAGGTTGGTGCTGATTTATTTTGATATGAATAATTTTGAAAAACTGAGTGGGTATCTTGGCTCATCTCTTTTATTTGGCAGACAGTAATGGCTAATCTGGCATCAAATCCCTCTATAAGTTTCCTGTTATAATTCCAATTTCATTGGTACTCTTCAATGATACATATGTGAGATATGATATCCCCTTTCTGCGCAATTGCAATTTACTTTTCTGGATGTGGTTATGACTGCTAATGGAATTGTTAAGATCACCAAAATTGTGTCAAAAAAATATTGATTTATTTGATTTTTTGACCAGGTAAATGGTTAGGAAGTTAGTAGAGTTAGTTTGTTAGCAGCTGAAATTTTTTCAGGAAAGTGAAACTTCCACCCCTCATTTGAGGCGCGCGACCATTAGGTCACAAGTTGGTGGAGTTCACGGCGGTGGCAGAGCTCGAAGCCCGGTTGGCATTGATTTATTTGATTTGATTATTAAAAATAAATAATAATTAATAGAACAATTAATATTTACTATTAATAAATTAAAATCAATTTATAAACTGATGTTTAAGAAAAAAATTGTAAATATTAATTAAATTAGACACGAATTTAGTGACCTTAGCAATTCTATTCGTGGCCATTACCACACTCT